CATTTCTTCTCTTATTTCTGTTTTCCTTCTCCTACTGAGAGGGGTCTGCTCGAGGCAGCTGGCATAGCTGCTGGGCAAGAAGCAGGGTTTCTTTTCTGTATAAACTGAGCTTAGAGCTGAGAGGAGGACTTCATTTTTCTTGTCTCTTCAGTAACTTAATCCTTTGTGGTTTTACTGTTTCTGAAATAATAAAGTCAGTCTGGAGTCAAAGGAAAGCCCTTCTCAATTCTCAGGAAAACACAAGGATGAAGTAACCTTGTTCTTTCCCAAACTAGCGAGCAAACATTTTCTGCTGGTGACTTTCCCTGGCTGGGAAAGCAGAAGCATTTCCTACAAATAAAACTCTATTCTGGAAATGACAAGGAAGGTGAGAGCTCTGCCCAGAGTGCAGAATCCAGATCTGGGAACATCTTAGCCAAGAGCCAAGATAATTGGCCAAGAGAAGACAGCCCAGGAGACAAAACATTGGTTTTCTGTGTGCAATTTGCCAAAGCTAAATTAATTCTCATGTTCCAGTGGGAATCTGCCTTTTCTTAACCTAGATTTCATTACAAAACCTGTGAAAATTATGGGAGCCTCCAAACTGGCACTGTGTGTGCAAAACTGCTACTGCTCAGGAACAGAAATGTACTCCAGTGTCCCAGCTGTAATAGGGAGGAGACTTTTGTGGGGTCTTTCTTTCCTTATCTTGCTTGGAAAAGGAAAACGTGCCTTCACTAACCTGGAGAATCAAGTGAATGGGCTAAGGCTGTGCCCTGCAGAGAGGTTTTTTTGTTTGTTTGTTTTGGTTTGTTGGTGGGTTTTTTTTTGGTTTTTTTTTGGTTTTTTTTTTTGCCAAATTCTTTCTGCTGTGTGTTTAGAATACTTTAAACAAGGAATAACAGGAATGATTTATACCACAAATTGTTTCATAGTTTTTTCTTTTCAAATCTGTTGCCTCACAGTCTGAAAATCTTAAGAAATACACACAGGAAGATCTGTGAGGAGCAGTATAATTCCTCCAAGGGCCTTGTCAACCTTAGGGCCAATATATTTATTATTACTTAAGCCTGACATACAGATTTCATTGTGAGACCTGCTCCTCACATGAGTGCTTGTTATGCTCCTGAGTGTGTATGTTGACTTTCACAGGACTGTGTTTCTGTCTTAATTTTGCAGAGCTGATATTTAATGGGTTTCAATCTCTCCTTATTACAGGACAGATTTTCCCTTAGTGGAGAAAACCTGGTGAAATACAGAAGGATGTGAAGGCAGAATCTGGACCAGCTCATATTGAGAGCACGGAAAGTTATTTTTCTCTTTAAACAACCAAGCCAATATAGGAGGGAGTTTGGGTTTTAATTCTCAGTATATCTGACCTTCAAAAGGACAGAAAACAATGCAATTCAGAGGTGTGCTGCCTACAAGCTCAGCTCCTGGTTGTATCTGTACAGCTGAGAAAAGTGAAAACAATGAAACAGACACTTTTGAGTTCCCAGTGAGAAAAAAGAAAACTGGCAGCCTTTTCTTGCTTTATTGTTAAATATCTCTATTTAAATGCAAATCATCATCTGACACTGCCAAACAAAGTCATGTACCAGGCAGCAGGCATGCAAGTTAAAAAAAATTTTTAAAATGATGTTTTGAAGATGCTGAATTGCTTTTATTTCCAGGAGGAATAGAGGTGGCTGAATAAATTTTTGGCTGCATACCGAGGATCAGCTCAGCACCTAGGCACTTCAGATATGAAGATTTGTATTTTAAGTACAGCTTTTACAGAGGTGTGGGCAGACTCTCTAGTTAGGGATCACTTGGAGGTATCACTTGGAAGTCCCTTCTGTGTTATTCCACAGCAGGTATTACAGTGGAAAGCCCAGTGTTTACAGAATGCTTTGGTAGGGGGTGGAATCCAGGGACAAAAAGGGGAAGGAGCAGCCAAATTGCTGCCTTACTGTGCCCTAGAAATGTGCTTTATGGAGCTGGATGCAGGACCTCCAGCTTCCTCCCTGAGCTCCAGAGCTCTGAGTCTGGAGAGGGACGAGACTGGACCTGCAGGAAGGGTTGGGGTAGAGGAGAGTCCTGCACGAGGAGCCCACGTTGTGGGTGGGTTGTGGCTCCTGAGCTGCCCCAGCAGGGATGCTCCAGCTCAGGGGAGGGGAGGTTCTCTGAGCATGCATCCATCCTGCTGAGCAGGAGTAGCTAGTTAATAAAACCCACCTCCAGGGGAGCATTTCTATTCAGTGCAGCAAGTCCCAAAATCAGCTAACAACCTGTATCTTATCAAGCCTCATCTGCTAAAATTCTTCCTTTAATTTGCTGTTTACCTCATCATTTTAAACTTTCATTCTTATAAATCAGTGTGGGTATATTTGCTTTCTGTGCAGGGTTCCAGTAGTCTCTTAATAATCATAATAATCGTTATTACTGATTAAAGTTGCATTATTCATGCCAGATGGAGTGCCCTCCCTGTCAGCCGGAATGAGTTTGCATTTATGTAGTTATAGTACATTTGTGATCTAAATAAACAGATGGTAGAAGGTGACAGAGAATTATGTGCTGATGATATCAGCAACAATGTTTCCCGAGTATAATTGCTTTAAATGAGCATGAATGCAACAAGGAGCTGGTAGTTTTAACAAGGTAGTTGGCATTCAGTGTGGTAATTACCAGGCAGCATCATCAATAGCACCAGGAATGCCAAGGGAGGAATGCTGGCTTTGAAAAATTAGTGACAGACTTCACAGGACCATCAGGGTGGGTTTGCTGAGCTCTGTAACATCTCACAGGTGTGAGCACGCTGCTAGCAGAGGAGCAGTGTTTGTTTTTGGGGTGATCCAGCCTCAGCTGAGAGACATTTTGCACTTCCTCCAAGGCCGTCTCCCATCAGGGCATGTGGCAAGTATTTGATTTAGTGTAATGGAGCAGTGTTAGCAGCAGCAGCTGTTAATACACGATTGAAAGGATTGAACCTGGATCGGGTTCAAAGGGGAAATTCACTTAACAGAATCTCAGCAGTACTCAGCGATGTATAAAAGTTTAATCAAACACAAGGCTGGGTTCCTGCGATCAAAAGCGCAGCGATGAAGGCTGTGCACAATCTTCCACGAGATTTACACTGGGTGTCTCAGCTCATCCCATCAGCTCTGGCTTTGTGTCCCTCAGGCACTGCTGCTCCTGGGAATGTGCCTGCACTTTGGCCATGTCCAGGTGGCTGTGGGAATCCAGAGCTTCCCTCTGGCTGCCCTGGCAGGTCTGGGACCCTGGCAGGGGATTGGGAACCCCCCTGGACAGAGCCCCCAGAGACACTGGCTGTGATCTCTGCCCATGGAAAAGAGTTTGCAATCTTACAGGATGAATTACCAGCTCTGAGTGTTTGATATGAGTAATAATTAAGTGTGGCACAGGTGCAAAAGTAAAATTTTAGGATTCTAGATTAGGGGTCCAAAGGGGACAAGATGGAGGAAATTGGGTGTGCCTTGTCCTTTTTCTCCTTCTTCACGCCCTCCATGTCTCACTGTGGTGTTGGCATTTTTCTGTTGGTTCAGGCTGGGGACACACTGTCCAACCTAGGTGACAGATATTGGCATGTTATTGTAAATCCAGCCCAGGGAGTTTCTGGTATTTAATGTTTGTCACATCCCACTGAGGGCAGAGCCCCACACGCTGCCCTGCAGGACAGAGCTGGGCAGGGCAGCAGAACATGTTAGAGATAAACAGAATAAACAACCTGGAAACCAGCACAGACCAATTATGGCTCCTTCTCTGGCAGCGGGGCTGACAGACAGAGACTTTCTACAGTCTCAGAATCATCAATACCTCAGATTCCAACCCTGGGTAGCCATAGGTTGGGGTCTGTCTTGCCTCACAGCCCAGACTGGCGTGGCACTGTCCAAGTGCTCTCTCCTCTGGTGCTGAAGTGCAGCCAGAGCAGAACATTCCAGCTCTCCTCCTTGCTTGCCAATCCCTCTCACATGGGTCAGTGTCTTACCATGACATGGACATGTGAACTGAACTCCCACCTCAGTCCAAGTGGATTTCAATCACTAATTACTAGGTAATTTATAAAAACCTACCATTGCTAATACTTCAGGGGCTAAACCTAACAGTGTAAACACTGAGTTTGTGGGGATTGGGATGGGGCTGGGCTGTGGCACTCGGTGTGTGGGATTGGGATGGGGCTGGGCTGTGGCACTCGGTGTGTGGGATTGGGATTGGGATGAGGCTGGGCTGTGGCACTCGGTGTGTGGGATTGGGATGGGGCTGCAGCCCAGCCTCATCCCCAGTGGGCTCAGCTGTGAGCAGCAGGTGAGCAGCACTGACAGCAATGAGCCAGGGAGTGCCCAGGGGCACTGAGCAACCTCCAAAGGGCACAGAGGGCACACAGGGGCACTGCAGCAACATCAGGGGATAAAAGGCTGGGCTGAAGGACAAGAAGGGAAAAACCTTGCAGCCTTCTGAAGTGCCCTGATGTTGCTCTGTATGGGCAAGTGCCTGAAGCCTTCTGATGTGGTGAGGTGTTACTGTGTATGGGCAAATGCTTAAAGCCTTCTGAAATTGTGTGGTGATACTCTGTGTATCGTGGTTGTCTTGACTGTGACATGTGCTGTGATAATTGTTCAGATGAAATTGTATAGGTATCTGTATAGCCTTTTTAGCATAGCCATCTATTCTGTGAAGGAATCAGCAGGTCTTACATAGGCTGTGGAAAGCAATAGTGATTATATTGCTCCTCAGTCCTCCAGACTTGCTCGTACTTCTTGCTTTAAAACATCCTGGCCATTATGCATAGCAAAAAAGTATTTAGGGTATAAAGCATTTAGATAAGTACTTGTATTTCATGTAAGTTTGACACCAGGTCTGGTTATTTAGTTGAGTCTTTTTTTATAGGCACTGTTTCAACCTTGCTAAAGTAGGAAAACCTTCCAAAGACAAGATGGACTCTCATCTTTTGTGGCTGCTGGCTGTTAAAGGAATGAAAGGAAGGCACATTTACAATCTCTGTCTTTCTGTCTGTCCTGCAGGTGGTCGTTGCCACAAGTCCTGCACAGGACGGTGCTGGGGACCAACAGAGAATCACTGCCAGACCTGTAAGTGTGTGAGAGTGAGAAACAAAGGACTGCAAAACAAGGAACAAAAAACCCAACTGGTTTTTTTTTTTCTTTCAGTTGTGAAGGGATACTATAAATTCTGGGTTCAGTGTGTATAACTCTAAAATATACAAGGGCTTATTTTTTTCTCCACGTTTGTATCAATAGCTGATTTGCTTTTTTCCCCCACCCATGTGAATGATATTTTTCTTTCCTCCCTTGTGCTTTCTAAAACTCTTTATGGTAACTTGAATTTTCTTTTCACTCATGTGGCAGTATGGAGCATGGCTCTGGAGAATATTGATGGTATATTTGGAGATCTTTAATGACCACCTAACGCTGCAAAGTTTCTCATGCCAAAATACTCTGTTAATTTCGATGGTAGCCTGGGAATATTAGTTATCTTGCACAAGTGTTTTCTTTATAATAACTTCAGAATATATTTGAATTGTACTGAAAGAGAGAATAATAAGTCTTTGTGAAGAAAGTAGTAAGTGAAGGGTCACTCATAATGTTTTTCTGTCCTTGTGAATTTAGAGAGCATGAAAATTAGTTTCTTCCTTCCTGAAGGAGCTTTAAGCTCCTTCACATAGGCACAAAAGAGCCAGTCACAATATTAGCACATAATAATAAAAGAGGAGAAAATTGAGGGCTGTTTTTCCTAAATGTTTTTTTTCTTTTTCCTGCTTCCAAGAGGGTGAAAACCAGTTGCCTTTACTGGAATCACTCTTCCTGGGAAATGAAGTGGTCAGCCCAGGGTCACCTGCCTCTTTCCTGGGACTTGGTAGGAACAGTGCAGAGATGCTGCTTTTTGCTAGGGTTTTTGAGGGGGCTTTTTGAGGTTTTTTTTTGGGGGGGGTGGGGTGGGTTTGGTTTTTATGAGAACTGGCCACACCTGAAAGCTCTGGCTTGAGTTTTTTAGCTGGGGTGGCAGTAGTCAATAGCAAACTGAGATGATGGGGTTTTTTTGGGGGGGTTTTTTTGTGGTTTTTTGATTGGGTTTTTTTTTCTTTACTACTTGGGAGTGAGGGATAGGAGGATAAGATGGAGTTAGAACTGGCAGACAGCCTATGGTGAATGTTTCATGAGTCTGAGCAGGAAATCCAAGGGACATCTCCTTCCTTTGCTGGCAGTCTTTATCAAGGCACTGACGAAGTCAGTGCTGCTTACCAGGAAAAGAAGTAAATTCTGAGTTGTGTGCTTAAGTAGATAAAGGAAAGGGACTTAAATCCTAGCTGACCAAATTATTTTATATCATTATTAGAGTTAATGAATGTTTTTTTCTTTTCCTCTGGACTAAGGAGAAGCTTGTTTGTTTAGTAAAACTAGTAACTTCATAAGAAGCTATCAAAGCCTCTCACCCATCAAACAAGTAGATTTATTCAGGCCTTTTGTGGTTATCTTATCCAAGAATAGTTTAAAATCTTGGCAGCTATGTTCTGTAAGGAACCTAAGATGCTGGTTCAGGCTGTGTCTCCAGCCTCATGGACTTTGCAGGTGCACAGCTGGACTTGCCATGTGGCAGGATCAGCTCCCATGGTCTCAGCCTCTACAACACACTGCTCTCAGATCAGGGAACTGATGTGGTGGATTAATGGAGAATTACCAGGGAGAGAAGGGCTTATCTGCAGGGCTGTGAAGGCAGGAGCTCAGCAGGGCTGCACAGAAGGCTGGTTCCAGGACTGACAGCTCTGTCCTGCCACAGGGGCTGCCCTTGCAAATCCAAACAGTGGGGACAGGCTAAGGCACAAGCAGGAGTAAAATAATAAACTAGAAAAGCTATAACCCATCCAAGTGTCAGGGAGATACACGGATCTCACTCTTCTACTTGAGTAGCTGCTCCACATCCTCTTACCTTCAAGCCCACTCTGATGGTCAGGGACAGGAATTAGTTTTACATCACAGATTTCTTCTTTGCCTCCACGATCTCGCTGCACCTTGGACAAGCAGCAGGCTTGAAGGGAAAGGCTGGCAAAGGGTGTTTCTTCATTGGATTTTTGCACAATATGTTTCCTTCAAACTGAGTGAAGCCAAGAGGGAGAATTTGTGTAGGGACTCAAAACATAAAAATGCAAGTGGGACTATGCTTTTGCTGCCTTCATGTATGATTTTAAAAGACACGCCTGGCTTTTGGGCTCACAAATGTTGTTAGATACAAGCTGTGCTGTGCACATTGTGTCTGCCTTGACCCCATGACCTTGGATGAGCATCTTTCCAACACTCCAATACTCCAGCAGTGCTACATCCATTTTTTAAATTTTGATTCTAGAAACAACTCAGAGCTTCATTTTGATATTTTTTTTTATTGAGGATTGAAGCAAAATATTTTAATGAGCCCCCCTCCCAAGATAAGATTTAAATTATTTTCCTGGGAAAGGATAAAAAATGAAAGATCTTAATCCGTGTCTTTCATTTCAAATTACATATGGAAAAAAACCCAAATCCCTTTGTTTTTTTCATGAATATCATCTACCTAGCTGCTTCTTATGTTGCCTTCCAGCAATGTCTTTGTTGCTAACTCTGTCTGAAACACCACCTGCATCTAACTCTGTTCTAATGTCTCTCTAAATGTGACAAGAAAATTCATGTATTTAAGAAGACAATCGGAAATCTAAACCAAGCTGTTCTGTTAGGAGATGGAGAAGATAAAATTCCAGGGTACTGTTTTACACAGTTAGCATTCCTTTTTATTTTTATAATTAAACTATTAATAGTGTTAATAGGAATGAATTGAAATTGAGATTATATAACTTGTTTCAGTGTCAGGAAAGGCTAATATGAAAATGCTTTTAAAAAGACACTTTTTTGAATTTATTGGGCACACACTGAATAGAATGTAACCACTTTAAGTAAAATAATAATAACAAACGTCTTTGGAAGTCACTAATAAAATTTGAAAATCTACGGTTAAGTAGTTAAAATTTTTGCTGTTCATATCTGTTAGGATTTTCATGCAGAAATGAAAACTTTTGCTATTCAATACATTATTAAAGTGACAGATTATGCACTTTTTCCCAAAGGAATGTAACTGAAAAGACAACAATCTAAATCAGAATATAGATCCTATTAAGGGAATGCAAAAAAGGCAAATATAACCCATAAATCAAACCTGAAACACAAAACATTTAGCAAATGAAAAGTGCTCCTTGACTCTGTGTGTGTACAGGAGTGTGGTCAGAGCACAACTGTATTTACACTGTCCTTGTGCAGCTGGTGTTGCTGAAGAGGTGCCAAATTAGAGCAGCAAAAGACAAGCAGGAGCCTGGTGGGGCACACAGAAAGAGCTGAACCAGCAGCTGGGATCAATCAGGGAAACCCACATTTCTGCTTGCAGCCAGCATCATTAATTAAAACCCTTGTACTGTTCTAATAACTTTGCATGTTGGGAGCACTTTCATTGATTTCAGTTACTTCCCATTTTTTCCTTCATGGATTGATAGTGTCCTGACACAATTAAAGATGAAGGGAAAACATAAAGGAGACTGATAATTTGCACATGTACATGAAGTGGTCATTTCATCACAGCTTATTGCTATGAAATACTGGTAGAAGTTGACAGTCTCACCCAGAAATACATCTCAATGCAAAGCACATTTTTCAGGACTTTGGGGTTTGTCCTTTGGGGTCCTGGCCCTGACTCTGATAGTTGTGTATAGTTGAACCCTCCAAATTCTTGGGATCACACACAGGATCTGTAGGAATCCAGGCAGGTGGTTGTGCTGACCCTCAAAAGGTCTGCTTTGAAGCTTGGGGTCTCAGCTGGGATTAGTGAGGCTCTCTTCACACTTGTGTTGGGTGAAGGTATGAGTACCTGAAATGCCATATAGTTTGACATTTTGGACAATATTTATAATTCACTCTTTCAGCTAGGTCTTGAGTTACAGTTATAAAAGCAATTGATTGTGCTTGGGGGGAAAAAGCTTGTTATCTTTTTAAACCAGTGCAGCTAGGTGTATTTTCTGTGGGGTTACCCCTGAGAAGGATTGCAGGAAGCTGAACTGGTGATGTTTTTTGACATCTGAGCAATCAGATTGTTTCAGGCCTTCAGACAATACACAGCATTGCCTTGTGGGAAAGGCGATTCTTTTCTGGGGAAAAACCTTCCTTTTAATGAAGTGCCTTAAATATGAGTCCTTAAGATCCAGAGCCCGCTAAGCTCATTAATGTCTCGGTGTGTTGGTGCCACTAAAGACACTTGACAGGTTCTCCACAGACCTGGGCCTTCAGCAGCAGCTATAATGTAAATATGGCATACAGTGAAGCATATGATATGTCCTGGCCTCTTCCTAGACCAACACGTTGGCAATGTTTGTTTTCCCTGAAAAATAAACAACTGGGGAAGAGCAGCAACAAATATTTTCTGTAATTATTAATTTTGCTTCAGGAAAACGCACAGTGTTCCCTATCCTGAGCAGTGTGGTAGAGAGCCTCCTCAAGCTGGTGTCTAACCAGAAGCAAAATATGCTTTTTGATGACATCCAGTTCAAGTATTGTGCTGAAGAGAGGACCATGTTTCTCCAGATCAGCCCTGAAGTGGATGGCCCATGCCAAGATCAACCCCAAAACCTTGGAGTTATCAGCACCATGCTCCAGCCAGCTGAGCTGCTCCTCCACCAGGAGCCAGTGGCTCTGTGGACATCATGGCCCACACCCACCAGCAGCTGGTTCTGGGGTAAATAAATCAGAGGTGGCTCACACTGATTACCCACACAGAAGGGCTTTGCACCAAAACTTCCTGGGGTTTAAGCAAAATGTCCCAGAGCTGTGGGGCAGCAGCTAGGAGTGCATTTAACCCCGTGCATGGCCTCGAGGCACAGCCACAAGGCAGAGCTGGCCGTGGCCATGACAAAACACGAGGTGCCATGGGGAAGGGGAGGCAGAGCCTTTGGGTGGTGCCCCTTGGCTCCAGGATCAGCTCCCTGTGGCTCAGGAGAACACAGAGGGTTTGAGTTGTAGGGGGAACTGAGACACAAACACAGAGGTTTTGGGTTGTAGGGTGAGCTGAGGCACAAATACAGAGGGTTTGGGTTGTAGGGGGAACTGAGGCACAAATACAGAGGGTTTGGGTTGTAGGGGGAACTGAGGCACAAACACAGAGGGTTTGGGTTGTAGAGGAAACTGAGACACACACACAGAGGGTTTGGGTTGTAGGGGGAACTGAGGCACAAACACAGAGGGTTTGGGTTGTAGGGTGCACTGAAACTCAAACACAGAGGGTTTGGGTTGTAGGGGGAACTGAATGGCCTCTGTGCCCTCCAGTGGGAATTGGGGCCCTCCCTCAAGCCAGGGTAAGGCTGGGCTGTGCCTCTCTGTCAGGCAGACAGTGCAAATCCTGAGCTGCTGGAAAACAAGACATTCCCAGGCTAGGGAAGGAATTTGTTCATTTTCATGAGCCAAGACTGTCACCACAGTGTGCTGGTGGCACGTAGCCACAGGTGCCATTGTTTCACATTTGTCTTCACATTTATCAATACTGTCACTTAAATAAACAAATCTTTTTAATGTTCTTTTCAGGCAGTGTTGACAGTAAGTGCCTTCACCGAATTTCCCAAATTTCTCAAATTAGATTGCACGAGCCACAAAAGCCTTTGCTTTCTCTCTGGGGGTTTTCCTTTGGTATCAGCAAGATGAAAATGCTCTAAAAGTGCACTGTTTTATTCCGTAGATTACAAGCAATCACTTCTCTTTAGTTATTTACATTTTGATGTCCTAAATAAATACTGTATGTAGCAAGAACCTTCAGCATTACTGGCAAGTAGTGAAGGGATTTTGGATCAGAATGCACTTATAAAGGTCTTAGCTATACATTAAAATAGTAGAATCAAGCAGATAGTTGGATGGAATTTTGTTTTCTCTTGCTTCCTGAAAAGTATTTTTCATAAAGAAGTAATTAAATGCTTTTAAAAAATAGAAGTTGAAGGTTAATTGCAGAAGTGCATCATCCCAGCTTTTATCAACAGACAGCTGACAGCACGGTGGGCAGTGGTGGCTGGTATAGTTTGGATTATGCTAATTTATTTTTCCATAAAATAAAGATAAAGGTTACAGCTGAGGGAGGGAGAGGAGGTGGATGGGCCACTGGGTGACCATTCTTTGCACAAGGTTAAGCCTCCAGAGGTGTGGAACAACAACCCAGCTGGTAGGTCTCATTGCTTCATTCTGTGAATGAAGGCAGGTTTCTGTAATTTAGAAATAGCAAGTGGTGTTTTCAAACATGTTCCAAGGTTGCAGTCTGCTTTGTTCCCATCTGCCAAATGGATTGCCATCGAGGGCAGAATTTGGCTGTGACATTGGTGGTCTCACTCTGAATTTCACTCATTTACTCTGTGTTGCTGTTCTTGGTGGGGAAAACTCACATGCAACTGGCGGACTCTTCTGTTATTTTCAGGGAAGCAGAGATGAGGGTGTCATATCCTCTTTAAAAAACCTAATAACTTGAAAGTAACATTCCCCATTAGTTTTCAAGGGTAAGAGGGCACACTAAAAATTGTTTCTCCACAATCCTTGAACAACATGTGTGCTCCTAAAGAGGGGATCATGCAGGTATTCTGGATACAGGTATTGTGCAGGTATTCTGTATGCAGGTGCCCTGCAGATATTCTGGATAAAGGTGTTATGCAGGCATTGTGGGTACAGGTGTC